AGTGCTGGTGGTGGTGGTGGTGGTAGCGATGGTGGGACATAGGTATACATGAAGGTAGGGTGGAGTTATGGCAGTGGAGAGTGCATAATGGATGGTGGTCAGAAGCTGTTCAGGAAGTGACATTGGACTCTTATCGGACGTGTGGGTGAGTCCATGGTTGGGAGGGACGTGTTTACCCCTAGAAAACGGTGTATCTGAAGGATTTCACACCCAGGGCCTGAGCCAATAACTGAGCACCCATCGCGAATAAGTACATTTCCGTGCTGTCGAAGATATTACTCATGCCAGAAACCTGAAGCCCTAATCGTTCTGAAAATTTCCAAGCCTTGTAAGGTGGCCTCAGTGTCACAGGTAGATGAGTCATGCCAGCTACGCCTTGTCGAGTGTTTGCGTAGGCGGCAGCCGGCCATCTACTTTTGGCTGCGTCAAATAGGAACTTGAGCAAGTTTATGCATGAGTTGGTCAGAAGCGTCTCGCTCCATCCTTCTAAGTGGGCAGCCAATGGAGCATGCGCCGAGCCGGTCAATTACGAAGCAGAACGTGTAGTATATGCAGGGTTGTATTGTGGTTTAAAATGTTTTCATTGTCCCTTATGCGAAGGCGGGCCAAAGACAGCGGCAACCGTCATTATGAGCGAGCCTGGATTCGCCAGCAAAGCACACAGCATGGTGACAAGTAGTTATTGTAAAGGAAAGCGCGCATTATAATAAACCCCTACCAACTATGCAATGGCTTTGCTGTGGTGTACCTCGAAGTGGTTGCACTCTAGCTGCCCAAGTTATGCTCTGCCCAAAGCGTTCTGTGGTACCATTTGTCTGCGTTAATACTATTGAATGCGTACAAAAAATTCGGCTAGGTAGGCTAGGTAACCCAGGGCGACAGGACTGCGCTATCCCATGGCTCCTGCGCTTGAGGACGGCCTTCCACCACATCTACACCGCAACATAGAGGCAACCTTAAATGGCAAACGCGATATACACAAGGCAGGTCGTCGTTTTTTCCGCAGCTAGGATGGCAACTCACATTCCACTCTACCTAGACTCACCGACTCCACTCCTCGATGATCGCAGCACATACTCAAAGTATAATTCATAAGAGTGTAACTGCTCACCTAGTAACGAAGGATCTAACATTTGTCCTCGTCGCTGGCCTTCCCCATCCCGATGCTCAGCCTCCCCCTCGGAAGCAGGCACCCTCGTTGTCTATATCGGTGTCTCCAGCCGAATTGGACTTTGAATCATCCATATTGCCTGCTAGCGCCGGCAGTAGCTTCTACGGGGAAGGCGCGAGCAGAGTGGGGCCCCTCAGATGGGACACCTCATCTGCCGCTGCCAACAGCCTCGCGTACGCCGGCACGACAGCCACTGTCCGCAGCAGCCGCGCTCCCCCCTCCCTGGACCAATTGTTGGAGTCCCCTTCCTCTGGTCCAAACATACTCAGCGCTGCCAGGCTGGTGGGCAATGCCTGGGTACGACAGCAGGAACGCGAGTGGTACCGAGGCCAGCTGGCAAAGCGCACGGGTGCGTGGTGGTTGGGGGGGGGGGGGAGGAGGTGAAAAGGACGCGTGTGTTTTGTGCGTGTGTGCATGTGTGGGGCTGATTGGGTTTGCTTCCAATCCCTTTCTTACAAAAGGGGAGTGATGGCGCGGGGTGCGGTGCGATGTGGGGTTAGGACCGAGGTCTATCCGCCTGGCTGACGGAAGCCTCCTCCTTTCCCCCGTGCCCGCATTCCCCCCGTATTCCGCTTCATACGCTCTCACCTTCCTCCTTCCCCTCTCCTTGAACCTTCTCCGCCGCCTCCACGTTTCTGTATGTCTGTACGTCTGTGTGTGTAGGGGGCGGGGGAGGCGCGCGGCCGAACTGCTGCTGCGACTGCGCCTGTCACCCCAAGGTTCCCGACTTCCATCACCCCGATCCCAAACTCAAACCCTAAAACCCCACAACTTCCGCCTCTCGGTGCTGTTGCGTACGACTGGTTTCAGAGCGTGTGGATGCGGAGGCGGAGCGGCTGTTCCTCACGGCCATAGGGCCCCTGGGCAAGAGTGCCGATCTCTGGAAACGGGTGGAGGGCAAGGTGGAGGGAGTGGCGCTGAGGAACGTGATGCGGGAGGAGGCGCTGGAACTGCACAGGTGCGCGTGCGTGTGTGTCTTGTAACGTGTGGGGAAGGGGGGGGGGGAGGAGGGGCAGGTTAGAGGAGGGGGGAAATAGCGGTGGGTGCGGTGGGGCAGGGTGGCGGCCCGGGGGTTGTGGGGTGGGGGATTGGGGCAGGGGCGGGGCGAGGGGCGAGCTAAGGGGGGAGGAGGTGGCCCCTCATGTGCGAGAGAGTGGGAAGTGAACGGCCGATGTCCAAAAAAGTCCGAAGAAACTGCCCCCAGTGAGTCCTAATCGGTGATGACGTCATCGGCCGCCCGTGGTTTCGGAAGTAATAAAGCTCCGATATGTAACCGACATTTTCGTTGGTGTAGTCGTCGTCCGGTCTCATGGAATCGACGTTATAAATCGTTTTTATGCAGCGTATTGTAGACGAATTGTACTGGAAGTATTGAAGGATGTAGCGAATTCCCTCTCCACTTTTACACATCCTTTCCTTCCCATCCAGCAGGGGACGGGGGGGTTGAGTTACTCGGTATGTATGTATGTCTAGGTGGTCTGCCGATTCCGAGCCCAACACTCCCTCGGGGGACACAGTCCAGAAGTACGACGACAATAACCCTGTTCACGCCGCCCGTACCTACCCACGCGACAGCCCGCCCTCGGGGGGGTGCGCCGTTGGGTTCCTAGGGTTGTGTAACTTGGCGTCTGTCACATCGCTTCGTCGTACTGTGTTCCACCATCCCCACCTGCCTCCTATTTTACGTATTTGGCACAGTTGTTTCGGTTGACTTTACAAACACATGTTTACCTGCCCCCCACTACCACCCCATCTCACTATCCAACCCCCTACCTCAGGTTGCGAGTGCAGGAGTGGGGTCCTCGGCCCCTGTCCAGCAGCGCCGCGGCAGCTGTACGGACTACACTGGGCGCTCTCCGGGCAGCATCCGACACGGCCACAAACACAGCGTCACCATCGTCACCACGATTATCACCATCACCTGCACCACCAACACCAGCAGCAGGGGCGGCAGGAGCGGCAGGAGCAGCTGCCGGCGGCGGCGGCGGCGGTGTAGGAGGGGGAGGGGGAGGGGGGCGGCGGCGGTGCCAGTCCGCAGTTCCACCACACCAGCGACGTTACATGGAGGTACGGCAGTGGGAGTGTACGGCAGTGGGGGGGAGGAAGGTGGGGGCAGGTGGCAACAGGCATGTAGGGTGGGGGTAGGGGGGAAACCTGACGTGTGTGCGAGAGGGGGGTAATGGACAAGATCCGCATACACACACAAATTCACACACGCACACTCACGATTCGTACAAACGTGAACGAGATTGGCTGTGCATGATGCGTGTGGAAGCGGGCAAGGTGTGACGTGGCTGTAGTCGTGGGGGGGGTGGCGGCGGCGGCGGCGGCGGCGGGGGAGGTCTGTCGTCCCATGTCTGAAGCCGCAAACCGCTGTAGCTGTCCAATGCCCGACCTAAGGGGTGGTCGGGGTTTTAGGGTTGTACGAGTTGTGCGTTCCTCTCGGAGCTCTTTGGCTGGGGGAGGCTGGGGGAGGCTGTAGAAGGGGTGGAGGGTAATGCAACCCCCGGCATATTTTGCACCTTCTGGAGTTACCTCCCGCAGCTGTAGCTTTAGTAGTAGCTGTTGTAGCTGTGGCTTAGTGGTTGTAGCTGTTGCTGTAGCTGTAGTTGTTGTAACTGTAGTAGTTGTTGTCGTAGCTGTAGCTGTAGTGGCGGTAGTAGTAGTGTAGTTGTTGTAGCTGTTGTAGCTGTAGCAGTACCATCCCCAACACTGCGTCGGCCCCCAAAGCCCCCAACAACGGCCCCCACCTCCCCATCCCAGAGGCTAGTGTGCGGGTAGTCCACCCTTTTCATCATCGCTGATGCTTATCGTTAGGGTGGCTGGTAGTTCACTTCGTTGAAACGGTTGGTCGTTGCCTACAGACCGACCTGGAGCGCAACCGAATCCGTAAGGCCCTCGATAAGCTGGCGGCCAAGTACGCGTCAACGGCAACGGCAACAACGGTAACGGCAACGGCTACCTCTCCACCTGATCCATGCTCGGGTCCATCCTCACCCCCCGCCGGCGGCGGCGGCGGCGGCGGCGGCGGCGGCGGCGGCGGGGCCCAATCAGACAAGGCCCGATTAGCGAGTGGCGGTGCCGAGGCGAATGACGCCGCCGCCGCCGTCGACCCGTCAGCTCCGTCCTCTCCTCTACAGCTGCTTCAAAGCCTCCGAGCCCGTCGGGAGTCCCGGTGGCTGAATGAGACACATGCCCTGGCGGCGCGGATGGCGGCCTTCATGCAAGTGGAGAGTCCGGTGTCGCCACGGGTAGAGGCGGCGGCGGCGGCGGCGGGTGAGGTTGGTGGTGTGTTTGGGTGTGTGTGGGTGTGTGTTGATGATGGCGGCGGCGGGTGAGGTTGGTGGTGTGTGTGGGTGTGTGTTGATGATGGCGGCAGCAGTGAGCGCCGGAGCTGGGGTTTGCGGGTAGTGGTGGGGGATTCCTGCTGCATGCAGGGCGACGCGAAGCTGGGGAGTGAGGCGGAGCTGCAGCACGAGAGTGTGTGTGTGTGTCTGTGTGTGTGTGTGTGTGTGTGTTTCAGTAATCTTCGGAGCCGCGAGATGATGGAAATGGCGAATATGGCGGTGCACCTGAGGATAACTTGTCGTACCGAAGCGAGCTCCGAATAGTCAGTCACCAGCGACGTGTTAGATTGGAGGAGTGACGTCGTCCAGAGCCCCGGGTAGAAATATGGGGCTGAGGGGGCGCTGTAGAGTGGGGCGGAGGGCGGCGAGGTGCGGGGCGGCTAGAAGCTAACGGACTACTGGCTACGGACAACGAGGGCGTCTGACGTCCCGCTGCGTGTGGGTGTGGGTGTGGGTGTGTGCGTGCGTGTGTGTGTGGATGACAGCAGCTTTACATTGTGTGTTTTCCTCTCTGTACACAACCCCCTCACCCCCTCTCCTCGTCCCCTTCCGGCCTCCATCCTCACCCCCCCCCATCCCCAGGGGGCCACACGCCCACCGCCACGTCGGCCCCTTCCTGCCGCCGCACCTCCGCGGGCACCGATAAACGTACCGGCAGACAAGCCCAAGTTCCCCAGCCCGCCACAGCTACAGCCGTCCGCAGCTCCTCTCCCCGACCTGGCTTTGGCGGCAGCAGCGCCAGCGGCAGCAATTGGGCCCTGTACGACGCGGTCGGCGGCGGCGGCGGCGGCGGCGGCGGCTTGAGCCGCATGGTATCCGGATCCCAAGCAGTGGCCGCGGGGGCTTCCCGACCCCGTCTGTCTGTAAGTCCGTCTGGCTCCCCGGGGCGGCAACTACAGCAGTTGCGGCAGCAGCAGGAGGAGGAGCAGGAGATGGCGCAGCTGCCGCCGGACCAGGTGAGGTGGCGGTGTGTGAATAGCGGTGGTGGGCCTTGCCTCGGAGTTTTAGGGTTTTCTTTCTAAAGTTTGTAGACTTTTAGGGTTTTAGGGTTTTAGGGTTTTCTTTGGAAGAGGAGAAAATTCCCGCCAAGTATGCACTTGCTCTTGCGACCGTGTCGTCCGCTCTCCGGAGCTTAAATTTAATCTTCCCCCCTTTTCCCGCTGGGGCGGTTGGAGAGGGCTTTTTTTAACAGGCCAGGGCAATCCACCGTCGGCTGTATTGGCTGCCGTACGTGCGCCGTACTCGCCAAGTGACCACTTTATCGCTGACCTTTTTCCTTACCCTTACAAGTTGACGCTCGGCCTCTAACTGAATTACCGACCCGCGGGTCTTTCCCTCCTGAATACCCCTCCCCCCCCACACACGCACCGTTATTACGTGTACGGCATATGTTTTCCCTGGACCCTAATTTTCTTCAGTGGATTTACATTTATGCTTTTCCAAATGATGATTTTCATTTACATCCTCATTTACACCAATCGCTTTCCCCACCCTTCCGCCGCCGTCGGCAGTTCATTTCTAGTCACCTTGAAAATGTATCATTTCCTCTCTACCCCCCAGGCCGCACTGGCAACCAAATTGATGCAGCTGTACGAGGACGCCTGTCGTACACACCAGCAACACGCGGAGCCAGGAATGAGAGCAGCTCTGCGAAGAAGCTGTGCTGCCGTACCGGTGGGTTAAACACAACACGCATGTGTGTGTGTTGCAAAACCCCCAGGGGCCGTACATTCATCATGAGTACCCCCCCCTTGGGAAGCGCGGGCTGTGTGTGTGTGTTGGGGGGTTTGGGGGGCGAACACACACACACACACACAGACAGTTCGTCCCCGTGGACACGCCCTCCATCTCCCTCCTTTGGACGGGGGCAATCTTTATTTTTCTTTTGGGGTTTCGACCAATTCTCCCCAATTTCTCCCCAATGACCTTTCCACCCTATTCCTCCCCCCCCCTCCCCCCCCCCCTCCCCCTCCCTGTCTCCCCCCTCATAATCAGGGTGAGCCCCGGTCCCGCTCCCTGGAGCTGGTGGCCCTCACCCTCACGAGCCGGGAGGCGGCAGTAGCACTCGGGGAGGTGCTGAGGCACTGCACGCACGTGACAGGTACGGCACCTGGGTATGAGGGGCGTGCATGCGGTCCCCGGGGTATGTTTGTTGTATGTATGTGTGTACTTGTGAACATGCACTGGATATGTCTATGTACGATTGTACGGATGTACGATTGTAGGAACTTGATTTTTTATATGCGTGTAAGCGCGTGGAGATGCCACTCTACGTGCTATTGGGCGATTCCATTATTTTTGGCGGGTTTTCCATTTGGTGTGGTGTTGGTGTGATGTTGGTAGTGGTGCATTGTTGCATCATCGTGCCCTCACCCGGCGCCTAAGGGGCGCCGCCCCAGCAGCTCGTCTCTTTGTCTACACCGCCACCGCCACTACTACAACAGCTCTTCCGCCCGCACCCTCCTTTCCGCCACTTGCGCCTTTCAAGCCCTCTTCCTCCTCTCCTTCCCGCCCCTCCCCTTCCCCCGGATGAAGGCAGTTGGCTTGGCACGTGAGTTTGCCTCCCCTCCCCTCCCCTCCCCTCGTTGTCCCCCTCCACCTCCCCTCCCTCCCCCTTTCGCAGCCGTTTCGTTGGATCGCTGTGCAGTGGGGGTGGAGGCGCTGGAAGTGCTGCTGCCCGCGTTGTGGGCCTTACCTTTGAGGAAGCTGACCTCGAACAACACGGAGTTCCCGCCCGCCACGTGGGGCCTGCTACAGGTAGTACGGCAACTGCATGGTGTCGTGTGAGTGCGTTTCTGCGTATGTCTGTAAGAGTGTGTGTTTGTGTGTGTGTATATATGTGTGTGCGCATTGGCCGTTGCGTTGGGAGGCCACATCATACGCACGTGTGATATCGTGTTCGTGTGTGTGTGTGTGTGTGTGTGTGTTTCAGTAATCTTCGGAGCCGCGAGATGATGGAAATGGCGAATATGGCGGTGCACCTGAGGATAACTTGTCGTACCGAAGCGAGCTCCGAATAGTCACCAGCGACGTGTTAGATTGGAGGAGTGACGTCGTCCAGAGCCCCGGGTAGAAATATGGGGCTGAGGGGGCGCTGTAGAGTGGGGCGGAGGGCGGCGAGGTGCGGGGCGGCTAGAAAAGCTAACGGACTACTGGCTACGGACAATTAACTTTCATGTTTGCAACGCAACACGCGTGTGTGTGTGTGTGTGTTTATGGCGGCGGCTCCCTATCGTCAACACCTTGCCCCGTTCTGCTCCCGGTCTCAACCGCATCCCCGGGGGGTTTCCGGTGGCCCCCGCTCCCGGGCCCCCCCCCCCGGTGCAATATCCCCCCTCAACACCCTCCCTCCCCCCACACCTCTTCCACTTTTCCCCCTTCCCCCCATCTCTCCTCAATTACCCCGGCGGCGGGGCTCGGGGGATCAGCGCGCCCTGGGTCGACCTACCGTGTGGGTTTCGGATGCGACGTGGTGGCTCTCCCTCCGCCACCTGTCCCTGGGGGGAAATGGCCTCGCAGACCAGGGACTGTGCGCTCTTGTGGAGGTGTGTGTGGGCGTGGGAGAGGGGGGGGTAAGGGGGGAAGGAGGGGGAGGAGGGGGAGGGGTTTAAGACGAACTACTGGCGAATGGAGCAGATACCACAGATACCAAAGACGGGTAGAGGGGGAGGAGGGGAAGGGGGGCAGGAGGAGGGGGACTTTGGATTAGGGAAAGAGGTTCCGGAGCATTGAGGAATCTCGTCAGTCGTTGTCGTATTTGCTTTCCCTTGACTCCGCACCTGATACCCACCCTACACCCTCCACCCTACACCCTACACCCTACACCCTACACCCTACACCCTACACCCTACACCCTACACCCTACACCCTACACCCTACACCCTACACCCTACACCCTACACCCTACACCCTACACCCTACACCCTACACCCTACACCCTACACCCTACACCCTACACCCTACACCCTACACCCTACACCCTACACCCTACACCCTACACCCTACACCCTACACCCTACACCCGCACCCGCAGGTGTTGGTGGTGATGCCCCAGTTGCAGTGCTTGGCTCTGCGGCAGTGCGGTATGTCTGACCTGTCCGCCCCCCGGCTGGAGAGGCTGTTGGGGGAGGTGAGCAGTCTGCGGGAGCTGGATCTGGGATACAACAACTTGGGCGCCAAGTCGGTGGGGGCGCTGGCACGAGGACTGGCAAAGGTGCGTGTGTGTGTATGTATGTGTGTATGTGTGTATTTGCATGTTTGTATGAACATGTGTGTATGTACGTATGTGTACGTGTATCTGCGCGTACGTGTGTGTATGTAATTCCCCCTCCACCTCCCCCTTATGAGAACTGGTTAGGGGAGCCACCACACGCTCCCCGCCTTCATTCCACACAGCCATGTCGTGCGGGAGTCCGCTGCCTTTCATTCCCCCCCTTACCCCCCCTTACCCCCCTTACCCCCCCTTATTCCCCCCCTCCCCCTCGCCCCCCCCCTCCCCCCACTGCTCGATGCCAAATCAGGCCACCCAGCTCAGGCGCCTCAGCCTGCCCTGGAACAGCTTGGGAGGCGGCGTAGCCCAATTCTGTTGGACGATTGTACGACTAGGTCCACGTCACTGCCATCTGGAGCACATGGACCTGGCGGGGACGGATCTCGTGGCGGAGGTGAGGGGGGAAATGGATCCGGTGCCGTACAATGTAGTACCCCAAACCGTTATCATTCAGCGGTGATATTTTTTTATGCTATTTGTTATTGTATACAATCCTTAATCGTATTAAATTTATTCGTACTATATTTATTTGTATTTGTAATCGTACCCGCAGGACCTATTCGCGGTAGCCGCCATTCTCCGGTCCTGGCCCAAGACCTCTGTACGGCATATCAACCTGTCGCACAACAACTTGGTAGGTGTCGCGGGCCAGTGCCTGCTGCGCCACACGAACCGCCTAATGCCGTGCCCAAGGCAAGAACAGCAACAGCAACGGCAACGGCGGCAAGAAGAGGACAATGCCGACGACGGCGGCGGCGGCAACGGCGGCAGCACAGCGACGGCGGAGCCGCCGCCGACGCCATCGCCTGGTGCAACGGCGGCCTCTCCCGCCGCCGGCATCTCCTTCCGCTCCGCAGCCGACGGCGGCGGCGGCGGCGGCAAGCCCCTGGTTCCCATCCTCAAAGTGCCCGGTAGCGGCGGCCGAGCCGATAGCCCCGTCAAGCGACTCACCATCAACCCCACCCCGTTAGCGGCGCCGGCGGCAGCGGCAGCGGCAGCGGCAGCGGCAGCGGCAGCGGCAGCGGCAGCGGCAGCGGCAGCGGCAGCGCCGTCGCCGACGGGGGTATCCCTAGGTGCTCGGCCCTCCTCGATGTCGCTCTTCTCCAACGCCATCGCGGCGGCGGTGACGGCAGCGGCGACAGATCGGGCGGCGGCGGATGCCGTGCGACGCAACCGTGCCGCGGCCGCCGCCACCGCTGAGCCAGACGGCATAATGGTCATCACCACCGGCTGTGTCGTACAGCCCTGTCTGCCACCAGGCGCGAAGCTTCTCGTCCACCCTGACGGCCGACCGCTCGCGCCCACGTACGGCGATGATGACGACGACGACGACGATGCGGGCAGCTCCAGCAAGTACGGCGGCCTGACGGAACGAGATCGGCAGCGGTTACGGGAGCGGGAGCGGGAACGGGAACGACGACTCGCCGCCGCTGCCGAAGAGCAGCGGCAACGGCAGCCAGTTGGCACCGGCGGCGGCGCCGCCATCTCCTCCACGCCGCCAACCGCCGCTAACCGCCTCGCCCCTGCTCCCCGCTCCTCTCGCCCAGCATCAGCCAAAGCGGGGGATCACCCACCGCCTGCTGCTACAGGCCCAGACGGGGCTCAGGGCCTGATGGAGGTGGTGGAACCCAGCGGGCCTCACGCACTGCATCTTGTCCGTCTAGATCTGTCCCGAGATTTGCCGGATCGACAGGTGGCGGCCCTGTTGGTGGAGCATGAGATGGAGGCGCGGAGGCACCGCTTCCGGTCTGCTTTCCGCGGGGTGAAGTGGCAAGGGAAGATATACAA